TGGGCCATGGAGTAAAAACTCCCCGCTGGATCCATGTGCTGTCAGTTTTATCTTCCCACATCCCTCTGCACTAAATCTAGCTCAGGGCGGCTGTGACCTCAGAGTGGGTGACAGACAAGGAGAAAATGTGGAATAATCCCTTGCTGCTCCCTCCCATTCCTCTTTTTACCACAGGTTACCCGAAACCAGGCTTCGCTGCATCAGCCCCAGCACGGTTCCCACCGCAGAATGCTCCAAGTGTAACAGGGTGAGGACTGAGGCGGCACTTTTATTCTAGGTGGCTTCCAGGCTGTCCCAACCCAGTGGGAAGGGCACAAGAGGGACTAAGAAGGGGGTCCTTGGGTTTTCCTGCCTGTTCCTGGAGACCAGTGTGGGATGGAGCCTTGTGCAGGCAGCTCCCGCGATGCAAAGCACTGTCCTTGGTGGGCTGTGTTACAGCTGCCGCACCCCGCTGCCCATCTCCTGCACCCCAGGCTGCTGTGCTGCAGTGCTGAGCCTCGCAAGGAGTTGCTGGCACATGGCACAGAGCTGCTGTCTCGCTCTGCGCCCGACCCGGGGCCACCCTCCTGTTGCCCACCCTCCTCCTGGCAGCCTTGGTCCTGCCATTGCTCCCCAGTGCTGTCGCTGCAGCAGGGCTTCCTAACCACTGTCTGCCTCATCGCAGGGAGGAAGATGAGATATATGATGATGTAGAGCCTGTTGGGCTGCTCAGGAGAGGCCAAGGCTTTCCACTGCCTCCTGTGTCCCAGCCGCCAGCACGTCCCCACCCAAGAGGAGGTGGGTACAGGAGGGGCTGGGGTGCTGGTGGGGGTGAGCACTGCAGCTCAGATCAGTTTCTCTGCTGCCGTGGGAAACCCTGATCCCCCCGCACTCAGGGGGCAAACTCCGGATTTGGTCCCAGGAGGAGAAAGCTCTCGCTGCTGTTTCAGTCTTGTGTCCTGTCTTAGCAAGTGTCTACACCTTCTAGCAGCCTCACAACAGCACCTCTCCTGGGGTTTGGTTTTACAGGTGGAGATGCCAGTCGAGCCTCTAACAGGGTTGCCTTGCTGGCAGCTGCGCAGAGGTAATGGGGTTTTTGCTCTTTCTAAGGGTCCCAAAGCCAGGGCTCCTGCTGCTTTGACAAAGCTGGTGGTTTAATGGGCTCTGCTGGGCTTGCGATAGAGATGTCCATGGCGAAGTGCACAAGCGACAGGTTTAAACCTGGCCCGAGAGCCCCAGCAGCCCTGGAGGGAGGCACCTTCAGGTGCTGGGGGAGAGCTGGTGCAGGGGAGATGTAATGGGGCAGCACCAGGGTGGTGGGAGGGGAAGAGATGGAACAGAGCGTGGGGTCACCTGAGCTTTCCTGTGGCTCACAACGACTCATCAGAGAAGCCCAGGTCTCCCAGAAGATGAAGCCAATGACACTCAAGGAATGCAAGAAGGAAGAGAAGGCAGACAGGGAGTTTCAGAAGAAGTTCAAGGTGAGCAGCAACAAGTGATTGCTTATCCCTCTGAGCTCCCCCTCGCCTCCCAGGAAAGGCACAATGCAAAGACAGAGAGGAGCTGTGCTCCCCAGAGAGCAGCCGATACCCAGGTCACACCTGCCCTGTTGCCCCCTGAAAAATCCCCAGATCAGACCAGTCCCACAGACCATTTGGCTAGAGAGGGATCTGCTTTTTCCAAGAAGGGGGAGCGGTCAGAGCTGCCCTGCTCATGCTCCCCCGGGGCGGCTGCCAAGCTGCAGCACCGCTGCCTGTGTTTCAGTTTGAAGGAAGCATCACCGTCCTGACTCAGATGATGGTCGACCCTGCAGCAGCAGAGAAGAGGGGCGGAGGGAAGAACCTGCCACTGAAACGAGGAGAAATTCTTGACGTCATTCAGTTTACAAATCAGGACCAAATCCTCTGCCGAAACAGCCAGAGGAGGTGTAAGTCTGTGGGGGCTGAGGCTTTGCCTGCGGCAGGGATCACAGCACACAAAGTTTTGGGAACACGTTTCTTTATGCACACACCCTCCAACAGACAGCAGAAGACATCCCCTTGCCATTAGACAGACCTGACGTACCCAGGCTCTCGGATGTTCCCACGTCTCTTTGCACAAACGTCCTGCTCTTCCTCCCACTTGGCACCAGCATTTCTGCTGTTAGCTGGGCTTGTCATCTCCCTTTGTGATGTTCCCAGAGCCTGGTGGCCACCAGCCCACCAGGCTTTGCCGTAGGCGCGGACACCACAAGCCGTGTTTGCACCAAAGGATGCTCAGGTGAAATGTGCTGCAGATCCCCAAGGTAGAGAGTTGGGGATCAGGCGCTTCCCAGCCAGCTGCCGCCCAGCCTGGCAGCCTCGTTCCCTGCATCGCCCCGAGCAGGTTCCTCCCAAGGGTCCAGCTCCGCTTCCCAGAGCCCGGCTTCTCCTTGCCCCCAGCTCTCCCTAGGGATGCAAGACATCACTAAACCCTGCCTGTCCTGGGCAGGGGCAGGTCCTGGGGTGAGACCCTGCCTGTGCCCCAGCTCCCAGCACAGCCTGACACGCTTTCCCTTGCTCTGTTACAGATGGCTACGTGCCCCGGGCCGTGATGCTGCACCTGTGAGTACCCCTTCCCAGCCCCTTCCTCCCCACTCCACCAGCTGTGGCAGTCACCCAGCAAGTGCCCAGCACCGACCCAGCCCAGGCCATTGAGTGCTGACTCAAAACCATCCAAACCAGGCCATGATCATTAGCATAACACTGGCTAGGTATCCTGGGGTGGAATCTGCCATTTCTGGTGTCAGGAGAGGTTCTGGTGCTGCAAACAACTTCCTGGGGTGCTGTGAGCCCTCCGCAAGCTGTGGTCCCTACGTGGGAGCTGCCCAGCCACTGCTTGGGTGCTGCCGGTGGCACGGTGTGACAGGCCAGCGCTGCCCCTCCGCACAGCCGGGTCTGCAGCTCCTGGCAGCCCAGGACAGGGCCACCGTCCCTGTACAACGTGAGAGCGGCCAGAGCCATGCTCACCCCACACCAGAGGAGCCCGTCTCTGCAGGGAGGGCACGAAGCTGGGAGGAGGCAAACGGGGCTGCGTGGTGGCCACCAGAGCCCGCAGACATGTCAGGAGAGACGGGACAGACGTGGCGGCCGTAGCTGGCCCTTGCTTCAGCATCCGGGGGCAGTGGGGACATGGGAGACCAGACTGCTCACAGAACCCCATCTTTTCCCTCACAGGGACACTGACATCTACGATGACGTTGAGATTTATGGTAGGTGCAGAGGGAACCGCTGCCGTAGCCCCTTCACCAAGGGCCAGGCACTGCTCCCCGACATAGAATCATAGAATCACAGAATCACTAAGGTTGGCAAAGACCTCAAGGATCATCAAGTCCAACCATCAATCCACACCACCCAACCCACTAACCCATGTCCCCAGGCACCACATCCACACGTTTCTTGACCCCCTCCAGGGATGGTGACTCCACCACTGCCCTGGGCAGCCTGTTCCATGGGCAGGCAGCAGCAATCCCCACGCCAGCACTGGGGCCTCCCCTCCTGCCCCCTTGCTGCTTCCCCACCTTCCCTCTCTGTGATTCCTCTCCCTCTCTCTGGGACATCCTTTCCTTGCTCTCAGTTCCCCACAGATCCTCACGATCCTCGGTTCCCAATTATTTGGACTTCCCCGCACCCTCTCCCTTCTCAGCTTGCTCCCTCCACTTGCTGCCAGCCCCAGGGACCCTTCAATGTCCCTTGAGATGTCCCTGATCCCCCAGACAACTCAGGGTGCCCTTTCCTGAGCAGTCCCAGCATGCAAACTCCATCCCCCGGCTCTCAGACAGTTCTGAAGATGCAGCTGTATAGAGACAACTGTATTGCAGCTGTGCTGACCGGCAAACATTTCATCTCATTCTGCTTGGCAGGCTGAGTGATCCGTGCTAAAGCCAAAGGCACAAGACAGCACAGAGACCTCCTCGAGAGCCGAAACATGAAAAGCACTATGTGCAGTGCTGCTGCTCTGGGAGGAGTTCTGCTTCCTCTGGGACAGCCTGCAAAAGCCACCACGTCCCTGGGGAAACAGCGGCGAGGCTGTTCAGCGTGCTGCGGGGCTGCGAGTATCCTGTCCCACAGGCACAGGGGGTTCAAATTGATCCTCAAGTCCCGCTTTCCCTGTGGCTTGGTTTTGTCTGTGTAAAATCTGCCAAAGGATTGAGAGGGTTTTGTGGTCTTATTTGGG